TGATAGGAACTGTCTTAACATTTTCTTGTTTGTTGACTTGCATTCAAAATTTTATTGAACTACTATTTCATGAATTTATGTCAATAAGTTTGGTATCAAACTGTAGATTATAATTCAAATTTTAGTACTATACATTACTCAATTTTTTAATTTAAAAGTAAATGTTAAAAACACAGATAAACATAAATTTTTGTGTGCCACGTGGTATGTTGAATTCAGCACTGGTTCAAATTAGATGTTTGTGAAGTCAAAATACTAGGTCTATAGAATGAATTAGAAATTCAAATTACCAACAGTGACAAGCTAGAATATAAAATAAGAAGGTCTTTTCTATTTGCCAAGATATTGCTTACATAATAAATCAAACACGGAAGCACTGCACCCATCTCTTTCCATTTTTGGAGATGTTCCCTTATATACACTTACTTCTATATATGACATAATCAATTGGAAGCTTAGAATGTCCCCCTAGTGGCTTTCTCAGCCATGATAAGGGACTTGGATGCCATTTCTTTCTTTTGAACCAATATTTCAGTGAGGTAGGGTGTGTCTTTAGTCTGCTGGAAATTTCATATTTTTTAGACAAAAATACATCTTGGTTACTAAGCTTGATAAATTATAGTGGAATTCTATGGTACTGGTGTGGTAATTTATAATTTTAATTAGTTATTCAGATGTATATATATAAAACTTGAAAAAAGTTTTTTTCATATCCTCCACATGCAAAATTTTTAAAGGCTTCGCAATGTACGTCAAGCAGCAACCAAGTACAAAGGTCGTAACTAGAAGAGATAATTGTTTGCTTCATTTCTTTATTTACTGTCCTATGTTTTAAGAAAAATAAGTTTAAGAACTTATTTCAAAATAGCAATAATCTATGTACATATATAATGTATAATAATTGAAATGTGTCTGTATTTTACAAAATGCTAATCTACTAAACACAGCCAAGACAAGTTACTTAGTACAGACCAAAGGTCAGTTTTATGTTATTTGATATGGTAACATGAGTGCATGGCTGAAAGGTCAATATAATAAAAATAATAAATATATATAAATGTACAATGTTATGAGATTTAAGCTATTTTGTCTAAACATTTATGTTTTCTTGTTATAATTTGTGTTCATTCTAAAATGAAAGAGGCATAATTTATATTTATTTCCTAATTTTTATGTTGGTTGCGAGATCAGTCAAATCTACCGAACCCATACAAAGATTAATTACTGAAAATAACAGATAAAATATAAAGTTTTTTTTTTCTTAAACATTTGATAACTATCTTGACATTATAAAGATTTTACATAAGAAATTTGAAAACTTTCTTATGCATAAAAGTATTTAATCTCAAAATGAATATTACCTTGCATGATAGATAGACAACTTGCAAAAAGAAAAAAAAACGCATGAGAAAAACATTGCTTTACAAAACTTAAGACTTAATAAACAAAATGAGTTATCTTATGTATGAAAGCATTTTAATGTTAACTGATAATCTTCCAAATTTCATTAACATTTGCTTACTAATTTAAAAGTTACAGCATGAAAATTATAACAACACAAAATGGTTACGAGGTAGATCCCAGGGACCGAGCCTATGCTGAAAGAGTTAAGAAAAAGCTTGATAAGTATATGAATGATAAGGGCTGGCTTTAAGATTTTTAATGTTTTTAAAATTATATTAATTTAGTTTAGCGGATGGAACAGCCGAGATGGATCAATAGGTCCCATGTTGTCCCAAAATGTTATGTTTAAAATTCATATTGGAGAAGTTGAATAATTTTATTTTATACAACTCAAACTTCACCC